TCAAATTGCATGACAAGGTATATTGTGAAATGTTTAATAAATATTAAAACTGTTATTATCTATTATCGTTTGCTGACTGGTATATAATCAAACAATGTTTCATGTCAAATTCTCCTGACATCTAAACATTTTGTTCTCCTTATTCATATTTAAATTTTACTAATTTGAGCATTTACCTAAAATCTTTGATACATATTTGGCTATTTTCTGTCAATTTTATTCGTGTTCTCTTTTATAAAATTCGGAGGTTTTGTAGCAATTGCAAGTCATACATTGTATTACTTGAATACTGCCTTAGAAATATTCTAATATGACATAATTTAATATCCGAGTCGACTAGTCAACGTAGGAAGCAGGTTCAGATTGGAGGTCGAGGTTTTCAGTCTTCTTCACGCCATGGGGCATTTGAAAATATATTTTGGTTCTGAAAATCTTTGGAAACCATTCATCACAATTTTCCAACAAAACTACGTCTCTCATCTCAGATTGGAACTTCTAGCCGTTTCCTAGTCGCTGTATGACACGTTCATTAATTCTAATTCAGACCCTATATATAATATGTGATATATCATCCAACTTCTTCTGTCTATTGTAAAGGAAGAGTGTCCCGGAGTTTTTTGCTGCTTCGACCGATATATTATATTGATAGACATATTTGATAGAGCCAGACTGCCCACGTTTAGACTGGCTTCCATTGTTTTTTTTTTTTTTTTTTTTTTTCGTTTTTTTTAATATCTTTATCTTTTCGTTTTGTCTCTACTATTTTATCAATAGTTAGCGATTCAAATTGTGGAATGTGTAAAGATACGAAATGAAATGATAATTAAATCACAGTAATAAAATATTTTCACTGTTAAAATAGTGCTCAATAGCTCAATTGTCGATCGATATAGACATACCAGTGTTAAAATAATACTCAATACATCAATTATAGAGCGATATAGAAATACCACTGTTAAAATAGTGCTCAATACTTCAATTATTGTAGAGCGATATAGAAATACCACTGTTAAGATAATGCTCAGTACATGATTGTAGAGCGATATAGAAATACCACTGTTAAAATAGTGCTCAATACTTCAATTATTGTAGAGCGATATAGAAATACCACGGTTAAAATAATGCTCAGTACATTATTGTAGAGCGATATAGAAATACCACTGTTAAAATAGTGCTCAATACATCAATTATAGAGCGATATAGAAATACCACTGCAAATCGATGTATATAAAAATGGAAACAATTTTGATATTTAAAAATCAGACAAAAAAATTTGTGTAAAGTAGCCCCCACAAAAAGATAGTGACCTCTGCTCTATGCTTTTGTCATATGTTGATCACTTATTTATTACTTCAATACTTCAATTATTGTAGAGCGATATAGAAATACCACTGTTAAAATAATGCTCAGTACATTATTGTAGAGCGATATAGAAATACCATTGTTGAAATAGTGCTCAATACTTCAATTATTGTAGAGCGATATAGAAATACCACTGTTAAAATAATGCTCAGTACATTATTGTAGAGCGATATAGACATACCATTGTTAAAATAGTGCCCAATACTTCAATTGTAGAGCGATATAGACATACCACTGTTAAAAATAGTGCTCAATACATCAATTATAGAGAGATATAGAAATACCACTGTTAAAATAATGCTCAATACATCAATTGTAGAGCGATATAGAAATACCACTGTTAAAACAGCGCTCAATACATCAATTGTAGAGCGATATAGAAATACCATTGTTAAAATAGTGCTCAATACTTCAATTATTGTAGAGCGATATAGAAATACCACTGTTAAAATAATGCTCAGTACATTATTGTAGAGCGATATAGAAATACCATGTTAAAATAGTGCTCAATACTTCAATTATTGTAGAGCGATATAGAAATACCACTGTTAAAATAGTGCTCAGTACATTATTGTAGAGCGATATGGACATACCACTGTTAAAAATAGTGCTCAATACATCAATTGTAGAGCGATATAGAAATACCAATGTTAAAATAGTGCTCAATACATCAATTGTAGAGCGATATAGAAATACCACTGTTAAAAAGTGCTCAATACATCAATTGTAGAGCGATATAGAAATATTGTCCAACTTCAGTAGGGACGCAGGCTGAATTATCTTGGCCAGTTGTCTGAAGATCGCAAAGTCTGAATTACAACAACAACTTGAGCTTAACGACAGGACTTTTCAAACTTTTCCAGAAACCTCAGATGCAATATAACGACCTTGTGATTTATTAATTCTATTTAGATGAATTGTGAAGACAATATGAAGTCCGATGCTAGTTTGGAATAGTAAGTCGTTCTAGATGACGGCGTGGTGGACCTTCAAGATATGCAAGAAACCTCAACAGTCCCGTCGTCTCTCTTGAGATTTGTTAACTTACCAAAATGTCATCTACATTAACACCTTGACTATCTCCCATCTGACATCGTTCTTCTCCAATACCGGAAATTGACGGAACTCGTCATAGTAATTATACTCATTGTTTATTATCCGGTCGCCATTTTGTTATCGTGCCCTCCATCTTGATTGATGGGGTCAGAATGCCACTTAAAGTAATTAAGTTTAATTGATCTCCTTTCCGTCTCGCAATTCTTACATTTTTGCTGTGGATAATGTCTTTACAGACTTTGTTCGACTTCGTTTTCTTATTTTGTAGTTTACTATTGGCAATGACACAACCAAGACAACAGCATTAAACAGACCAAATAGTTCTGTAAATCAAACTTCACTGTAGATGTTTTTCTTGTTATTTTTTTATTCTACCTAGACATTAGGTTGTGGAAGCTGTCCAAAAGTCTTAACAAGAATTTTTTTGTAACAAATTGTAATGTTATATTCCAAAAAGGTCCATAATGCTGTGTTGTTTTTATCCGATCTGCATCACGATGTTTTCTCAAAGTTAATGCACTTATTGAACAGAAGTGAGTAATCTACATTTTGTAAGTGTTTCTAAAACAAATATGATATTTATCTTGTTCTGCCTACTCGATCGTCCATTTTCCACGACAACGTGTAGTTTTTATCTAATCTTCATCGCGTTCATCTGACAAATATTAACAATTTACACCTGGGTGCTATTGGGTACAGTGTGGGAGGGGGAATTATCCTGGGTCAAGAACGACATCATGTTGGTGCCATTGTTACCTGATCTGATAACAGACTGCCAGGAATGGTTCCATTGACAATCACCTAATGAGCCATGGACTGTTGATGTAATTAAGAATGAACTATTGGTTTTTGAACTATTAATATGATTACTAGCCTGGAGTTTTGAATCTGGAAAATAATAGATTTGATGTTTTACTTTCGAAAGGTCATCGTGATCATATTCTCATTAGAGACTTGACATAAATTTTGCAATTCTGGCTTGCACACTGGTGGATTCAGAGTTTGATCCTAGCTGGGAGAGGTCTCGGTTAACTCTTTATAATACCCGGAAAAGAACCGACAAGGAATTATAAAGGGGTCCCAATATGAGCGTAAAAAGAACAAAAATATATAGGGATCACCATTGTTCAGAGCACTATGAAGATTATATTTGTTGTAGAGAATTTTAAAAGTCACAATACAAGTCACACAGTGCCCCTCAATTAAAGTTTTATGTTTCCAAAAATTAGCAACCTTCACTTTTAAATCAATCAACGCTTAGTTAAAGAAGCAAATTTCAACAAACATTCCCCAACCCCTTCATTGAATTTCTTTTTTAATGTGACACCTAAGTATGTTAAATGATTTAATTATTATTAATTCTTCATATAGAAATCTGATGTAAAAGATTTATTTTTAACATTTAACTTAATTTGCGGTTTAAGATGAAATGTTTTTTTTTCAGTTATATCCGAACCGCTTTAAGAACAATTTAGGTCTATACACCTACATATTAAATATAAATTAACGTTTAATAGTATTTCTATGTTTCAATTCCATATATAGCGAAGCGAATAAATTTGAGACTATTTTTAAGACGAACCAGTGAAAAAAAAATTCTGAATATCAAATTTCCTAAAGAGGGAAATAACATTATGCTATTTCATCCAGTGACGTATTTAGGGGGTGCCCCTCCCCCTTCAGAAAAAGGTCTTATTTTTAAAGGTGAAAATTAAGCTATCTAAATTCTCAAAATTCATCTCGGGGCTTGGGCAATCTGAAATCCGTTGGATATGGAAGCTCACCTCGAATTCCCTCCCCCCTCCCCCCACCTCCTTTCTGCATTTTCTAGATATGCCCTGATTATATCACTAGACCAGTGAATTGGGCAATTTTTTTCTAGTGTGACTTTTTTTCCTTCCAGTAACACTCAAGCATATTTTCGTCCAAAGCAATTTCAAACAATAACTGAAATGTTTGTAGAAAGGGCTTGCTAAATGCAAGATATAGTCTTACTAATCTTAAGTTTTTAATAAAGTTGAAGGGTTGCCACACTATGCGAGGTAGATTTGTAGTAGTAATCGTTGTATGATGTAGGCATGATATCTGCAATATTTTTCCTACAAATTCAATATACATTATATCCTAGCCTATACCACAGGATTTGAATGATGGTTAATGCAGCTATCGTTGCAAAATTTCCCTCATTACAGTTACACGCGTCATTTCGTTTCCTGGCTTCACTAGCTCAAGCAGGTAAAAAGGGGAAGGCGTAAGACTTCATTTAATTTCGCTGAACAACTGTAATTACTTGGTGACTGTTTTTAGAATCTATTTCTTTTGTCGTGAATTAACCTCTATCGACCTGCATGAAAAATCACACAGGCATAATTCCACTATTTACAGAACTATTATAACTTGGACCGCCCCCGCGAATTATCATTTGTTTTAAAGACAATTCCTTGCTGGAAGAATCAGTTCGAACAAGACCGACTGACAGAACACTACAAGACAGCAACGAGAAACCGCTAAGAATTTTTTGAAAAGTTGAAAACAATTTCAAGGGAACAGTTTAAAATTTAAAGTGTATAAAAAATATCAGAATGGGACCTGTACAATGCTGTGTCGGTATGTTGTTAGTAGTCGGTATATGCCAGGGGAGGTATTTGTCCGGATATGACGACGGTGATGTAGATTCGACAGACATAAATCAACCAGAATTAGTGTTACCAAATTTATTCTACCCAGGTAAGTTTATAAATCGCCACATTTATTGTTTTCACGATCTGATATTTCGCTACATAAAATTTCAAGATTAATCTGGTACTAAAAATCCGTAAAAGCAAAGCAAAAGCATTACAATATTAGGTACAATAAAAATCGTATAGTAGTAAAATCGCCAAACGAGAAGTACAATTTCATTTTGTTATCGAATAGGTTAAGTCGCTGAGCATCTGTGGTTATTCCATTATTGTTTTTCAAATATTGCAACTGGTAGCATCCCGCAGAATCTGATCAAAAATAGATTGAGTCGATCTGAGCCTATTTGACTACTGCAAATCGCTGTTTTCAAATTTCTCGGTTATTGCATGCAATTGGAAATTTAATTTTAAATATTTGCATGATGGACAGAAAAACTCAATTCTGGACTTGTGATCGGAGAGTTATGATAAAGCGTTATGCTATCCGCTGAGAAACCTCAATCACCAGTTGGCGCGGTGTTAAATAATCTGATGATAATTAGTCTTCTTACCACGAGCTTTCTTTAATGATATAATTTTAATTGGCAATTATTAATATTCTCTTTTGTTCATATTACCAATATATGACCTTATAGACAATGATAGGATATCATCACAACTATCATTTCAGACAAGAGGGAAAATTGGTTGATATCGATCATCAGTGTTACTCAAATAACACTGATACAATTATTACCTCTTTAAAATAAAACTGACAAATACCTAGTATTATTTAAGTCAGAAGACCAATTATTATAATATACCCATAATAGAGCATTATTGCTAATACTAATAATAGTAATAATAATAATAATAATAATAAGGCGAGGGTGCAAATAGCCAATGTGTTATTAAAATTGTACAATAGAGGTGTGCGCGATTTGTGTTATCCATCAACAATTTAGGTGTATGAAAATTAAATTTGTGGTTTACTGCACAAAGATGTAAGAATGGTGAATCTTCAGACTGTAGTAACAAAGTGCATGGCAAGAAATAAGTTAAATTTGAGAAAGATTAAAAACTTCTCGCGGTTTGTGGAAACCATTTTATAATAACTCGTACAATTCTCACCTTCAGGTATAATTAATAATTTTTATAAAGAAAATTATCCTAAAAAACTTCCGTCTTATCCGGAAGAGTGATGTCGCCAGTGGTTATAATCGTTAAATGATTGTTGAAGTTTGGTGTAAAAATTGCCAGAGTTACTTGTTGGTGCCTGTGGGATTGATGTAATTTGTCGAAACTGTAAAAATCCTTTTTGATTTAGAATCAACATACTAGAAAAAGTGCACTGTCGAAATGTCGTGAGGGCCATTTTTTAACTAACTGCGCTTTAAGGCCAACAAAATCCACTTCAATTTCATTAGATTGAACTTGTTTTGATATCTAATTTGGCTTGACTCCTATATCTTTTTGGCTGTATCCCCAACGGATTGGCTGTCTTTATCTCTTCTATGTCCTTTTTCACACCCTAACGTGCTTTCTGGCATCTTTATGTTACATCTCACCAGACTCAGTAATATTTGAATTGATTTATTCTTCTGACAGTTTAACATTTGTGGCAATCAAAACTATGTTCAAAAGAAGAAGTTTACAGTCTACCAAGTTGATTGATAACCACGATGATGAATAATTCAGTTTATTGTATCAGTTGCTTTATACTTCTGATAATCTAAACTACTTACAGACAACTTTTGATATGATCATGACTAATTCAGTCCAATAGTATCGTTGGAAGCGGACCAGTTATGGACTGTCACAACAATTCGAGATAAAAATGTGAAATACTCTGATAATGTTTTATCACCAACAATATACATTGTATTGTTATCAGGGGGAATAATTCTACGTCTGTAGAGGTAAATTAAAGTTTTGAAAAAACTTGAGATTGTTCTTAAGTTCTTGCTAAAACTGACAATCGACAATCTCATTTCCACAATATCCAACAACTACGTCTCCATTGAAGGTCTAGTCGATGTTGTTTTTTTTTTAATTGTCTGGGGATTATAATATGACGTCAGGCATCTATTTTTGTCTGCAAAAGCATTGATGGTATCAAATGAAGCATAACCTCTATACTGTAGGTAAAAACGTAAATCTAAAAATATCAGCCATCATACAAACCTGATGGGAACGACTTGACGTCTGTCATTTTCAGATCAGTTTTCATTATTAACATTTATTTAATGCCATAAAAGACATCAAAGAAGTTAACACAGCGTTGAAAATGGTCGTAGTGGGACCAGACGTGACGTCTGTACAATGTCTTTGAGTGTAAGTGTAAGTCGAATTCCTCAGATAGGTAGACAAAGAATGTTGAATATTGATTCATCTGTGGTGGCTACAAACAGACAAATACCATAGGAAATGGTTGAACCAAGTCCTCTATGCCACGGGGCCTCCTTTCTCACACAAAAATGCAGGAGAGCATATGTTAAAAAAAAATATTCTTGGCGGAGGGGCCCCACTCATCAAGTTTAGCCACTATTCATCTGCTGTAAGTGAAGTAAGAAGCAGTTAATTGCTTCTTGGTACTGTTTGATAATCGTCGCAAATATTCCATGTATTTGCGCAGATGATCCGAGATACATGTACCTATAGACCAAGAATTGGTGTAAAGAAAAATGACGCTTACGAAGTCTTCATGAAATTTCGTAGTTATTTGAAAAGATTTTTGTGTCAAACTGTACCTTTGGTCGAGTGCAATGAGTTTGGTAGTAACATTATTCTTCGCCGGATCATGCTTATATTATATAATTTTGATTTGTTAGAAGGTAGTGTTTTGATGTAGAAAACCATGGGGAATTTTGGGTACTCGGACCTGATATTAAAAGCTAAAGAATGGATTCCTTGTTTACTCACGTGATTAAAAGGGTCGTGATAATCGAAGTAAACAGAATAATTTAGAAATCTATTAACAGATACTTTATAATTTCATCATTTTGCACCATGTATGGTTGGAAAAGGAGGATTTATAAATATTTTTCATCATGAGAAAGCGCTTTGGTTACCAAAACTTGAGCCAGAGCAGAACTAATCCCACTCAGTACGACTAAATCATTTTACCTTATTACCTTCTAATTACCATTAATGGAACTGGTAATCGGCTTATAGTTAGTAAACCTATTGCACATAGCTTCAACTTAACTCTTCTTTCATTTTGATAGTACGTTGATGGATTCATTTGATACACAACTTTCATTTTCAACCGACGCTGTACATCTGATATCTTATTGATTAATTATCATCGACTGATGATAGCAAGGTTGAAGCCGACAATACACATTTGGTCACTACTATCAGGTCCAGGTACTTCCCTTTCCTTTTATAATTAAATATATGTCAAAAATACCTCCTTTGAAGCCTACATTACAGGATCTGTCACTACACCAGGTCCAAAAGTTATCTCGTTTTCCTTTAAATATATGTGAAAATTACCCCCCTCCCCCTTTTGAAGTTGAACATTTTTTTAACTCTGAAGTTGCATTAATACTAAAAGTGTTTTGTACATCAATATTGCTTCTTCTGTAATTTCTATAATGCTCAGCAGTAGTTGAACTACTCTCTTTGGAATATTTTAGTTCTACGTATAGCTCTACGAACTTTGTTTTATACCTTGACAGCAATAGTTACCTTTATTGTATCAAGGATATTTGTAAATAAAGCGATTTGGTTTGATTGTACCCTGGCGATCAGAAAGTCTATGAACACAAGGCATAATGTTCAGAGTCTTTCTGTCGCGGGCTCTGATTGGCTATAGCCTATTCGCTTGCATACAATGTAATCAAATCGCTGATTTCCGTGATACGAGAACAGTGACTATTGTAGTCAAGGTATACGTAAGATGTTCGAGATAGCTTGACCTTGTTAATATATGTAATTATTAAGTTTACTAGGCCCTACCTTATAGATTCTCTTTCACGCAATCTTTTGTGTCAATGAAATGAATTGATCTGCAAAAAATAATTCAATCAATATAATTTATTTCGGCTTTCTTGACTAGATGTTGAATTAACTGGAAAACCTTTGATGAGGGAAGATATTTATTTTGTAGAATAAGAGTATATTCACTATGTACCAAACTATCTAATCCATATTTACTGGATATTTATAGAAAGATAGGAAATGGATGTGGAAGAGTTTTTAAACAGTCCATTAGATCTATATAGATAAAGATTTAAATATCTTTACTCAAACAATACTAATTTCCGCTTGTTCAAAAACACAAAGAGATTGCAGTCACTTGCCCACCAAAATAATAAATTAAAGTAAAGAGGGGAAACTGTCCAAACTATTTATATGACATTTAATCTAGGTCACTATTATGCACATCAAATGAAATTGTGACCTTTCACTTTCCACGTCTCATGGCAAACAAACTAACAAAAAAGGTAAAAAAACGTAATTCAAAATTATAGCGACATCAGTAGCCATAAATATAAAAAAAAACAATCAAAAGGAAAAAAGATATTTGTGGTAAAGCAATAATTTCCCAGTTTATCTGTACTAATGTTGAATTTCATGTTTTGTTACAAACCTACCTCATATTAGGCTCAAAATTTGAATTTAATCAAAGACGTATCAGGTAATTTTGAAATCTATTACTCAATGTTTCATTTCATTTCTAGTCTGTAGCTTAATCCTCTAGCCCTAGCATGAGGAAGTGGTCATCCACAGTCAAAGAAAAATACAATGCATTTTATCACATTGTGTGTTCAAGTGTTATTCATATCTTTATAAATTCTATCTTATAGAGTTCCGTCAACTAGAAACCTGACCTTTAAAAACAAGGATCAAGGTTTAATTATTCAGGTGAATTTCGAAACATCATTAATTTGACGTGATTAATTAAAAACGATGGAACGCATCTTTAATTTCGATAAGAAGCCATAGACTAAACAATGTAAAACCCACGCTCTAGTCGCCATTGTTTGTTTAGATGTTAAAATACAATATTTATTTTTTATATATATTCAATCTCGTGTTGAATCTATTGTTTTATTTTTTATTTCCATCCACCCACTTACATCAGCACGTCCAGGTTTATATTAGTTATAGAGATTTATATTTGTAACCAGGAAACATTAGCTTTACGCAAGGTGAAATATTAACCTTTGCCTGGTGCACTATGAATGCATCTATCCGTTCTTCTCCTCTTTACTTGCGATTGGCAGAATCAAAGAGCAACGGGCTTTCTAACGAGTAGTGGCAATATAATATGACCAATATTGCTGTATCTAGCCCATCTTAGTACACGGACGACTGCAACATCGCACTGGCCACAGTTTCTTTTGTTCTACTTTCTGTTAAAAATGAAAGTGTTAGTAGATTGCAGTTTCGATGTAGTTGGCCGCCCAGACCATTGCAGTAACTAAATAGTCAGTTTATTTGTAAATAGCAGAAAAACGATCATGTCGGCTGCGTCAGATCTGCTAAGATGTTGTCAATCGCCAACGTTTTTAAAACGGGTTGTGCAAATTTTGACCTGAGGGACCTTTATCATGTAATCTGCTTTATATCAGCCAAAAAGACACCTCTGTAACTGGCGTATCCGTCTGTCTATCCTTGGCAGATAAGGGCCACCAAGTTTCATGCTACCTTTATAGAGAAAACTTGGCCGTGGCAACATGGATGAATGCTTGTAGTGAACAGTAAAATTCAACTCTTTCGTGTGATTTGAATAAAAAAGATATCACTATCTTATAAAGAAAGCTTATTTTGCCGCACTGAACCACAATCATTTCCCATGGCACCAGACTCAACAACATACTTGACTTTAATATGAAATAATAAAACACTACAAGGATCTCTTATGCTTTGGATGAATGAAAATCATTTAAATTTCTATTCTTTTTTCATTACAGAATATTATGTGCCGTCCTCCAATAGTCTTTACAAGAAAAGAAACAGTAATTCAAATTTAGGTAAGTATTTTTTATTGCACCACTTTCAAAACTGCTTATAGCAAGGACAGAAACTATACTGTAGTACTGAAAACCCATTGACAGTTACCTTACAGAATCAGATTTTTTTCCCAATATAATGAAGCCTTTGGTACATAATATAACCAATACCCTTTTTGCTAACTTCCGGTTTGGAGGTTGGGATCCAACTGTGTAACTATGCATTAAAAAATCTTCACAGTGACAAGCTGATAAGACGCAATTCGTCATAGCTGAACATTGTGTATTCCGGAAGTGAATTGATTTAGAAAGGAGGCGGTCATTTACACCACAGAAACAATTTTTATACATTTTCTAACGATGTTTTCTTTTTAAACTCTTGTTGATTACTTCCGTAAGTTATGGCTTCTCTAGCTGATCAACTACTTGAGATTGTAGGGGAAAATCACGTAGGAACCTCCTACAATGCACAAAACCAAGTACAATTCGAACTATTTGCAGTCAGGTTTGGCATCCTATCATCCCACATAAAGTTAATAAAGTGTGGATTTTTTTTTTCGATTTGAAACGATATGAAGACAGATAAAGGTGCGTTGACATGCTTCATTGCAGACAACAACATGTCCCTCTTACTTCAGTGCAGTATTTCGAAATGTTAGTTATTAAAAAATCATTACTGAACTTTAAACAAATTGCGTGTTTATGATTTGGTTTGGTTGACTGAACACCTGTCATACTCCAGACAAACCGAGTCATCCTGCAGCCTACAATAAAAAAATCTAGTACCATTGTTCTAAATTGGTTTTTGATAAACCAGGAAATTTCCAGTTAACTTGCCAATATCTTTCAGTAATTCCTTGTATCCCAGGGCGTTATAAACGATATTGGCCAAATTTCGTCTTTCTGCTTCATTCGTTTTCAATCAGTAAAAGGTCGATTATTCATTTTAAAAAGTGCAGCGACAAATGACAGTCCGAGAATAGTTTATCAATATCGGACACCCTATGTGTTCGATGCCGTCTTGTGATAAAGCAGATTATGCGATTAGTGACGTCAACAAACAGCTTTCGTGGAATTCTGATCGAAAATTGGAATGGTGCAAATTGATGCCATCCGTGTCCCCGATACACATAAAAGATTTAGAAAATCTCTTTATAGTCCCTTTAATACTTGCCATTTCCTTTCTATATATCCAACTTCCTTCTTTAGATTAATCGTGAATCAGGCCTGGTATTATAATATTCAATTGGTAATACAAAACCTGTCACAAACAAGATGCTTTAGTTGAATTTATGGTTTCTGTATCAAATATCTAATTAAACCCAATATTTTCTCCATGTTTGATATCATATCAGACATTTCTGTTCGCTGTGTGATGTTTAACTGCATATTGACGAGATGACAAACCGGGAATCAAGTGTTCCGATTGGTATATATGCCCTGCTCCGCTAGCAACTAAGAATATCATTGACTTCAACGAAACTCTTAATAGATAGAGGAATTTGGACGAATGTTCGGTCCAGACGAGCTGGTTTCCTAGACAAGGAATACTGGTCTATTTCAATCTTCTGCTATTATTAAACATAATTTTTTCTCGTTTCAGGTAATTCTAAAAGAGGAACATTTCACGATTTGATTGAAAGATTATTGGCGTTACGAGGTGATATGAGATCGTCTGCAAGAAAATCACAAATGAGATTTGGTGGCGGCAGACGATAAATTCTGTCAGCAGTGCTGAAAAAGACAAATTGACTCAACTCGTGTTTATTTCGTTTCCTATCTTTTTTAATTATCGTATGATATCATAGATTTAGTTTTGTTCAATGCCGGCGAATATCATCTATAACAATGGCGGATTTCAACACATATACAGTCTACGGTATCTCTACGCGGTATAATTAGACATTTCATTGTGAAATATCTAATTATTATCGTAAGGAGAAAGTCGTAGGCTGGAAGGAATAAACACTACAAAGACATTTAACTATCGAAATTCTTGTTTAAGTACCTGCATTGAATGGATATTTATTGTATGACCGATCTAGCACCAAGTCACCAGATCAGCAATATGAACTGTTACAGAAATAGTGGCAATTCCGCCTTGCAATCTGGTGAAATGCTGATCAGGGAATTACGTGTCGTGTTTTTCTGCAAGTAAATCGAGGATTCTTCGTGTGCCCTTTACAATGTATATTTCTGTGTTCGTTTATGCATTAAGGGATATTATATGAATATTTCCTTAGTTTTCTTGTTTTATTGCATTGTATGTTATCTGATACACACTATCACTTTGTATATTGTATCTTTTTGTTTGTTTCTCGTATCTGTTAGAATTGTTCTGACAAATGGCTTGCAGGAAAAACGAAAAAGCTCAAATGAATTTTCAGGCATGAAAGTCTGAATGATTAGCAAATTTAATACCTGTCAATTGTTGATACATTTCTTCATCATTGGTTCTCAACAAATTTATTGCACTCTTAAGTGTGTTGATACTACCAACTTTTCCCCAAAAATTGTCCAGAATTTTACCAACAAATAACAACTCTGTATACACCTACCTACTAAAATTTCTCTAACAAGTAAGCGAGAATGTTGGAGAAAGGTTGATAGTATCAACACTTTTAAGTTATGTTGTTTTCATTAGAATCTACATGTAGTACTCACCATTATGATATATCACCGATATTAATAAATTTTGAAATTAACCAAATATACTGGTTATTACGAGCATGATAGAAGTCATCAAACTCTAGTTTGATATAACCAAGCCGAGAAATAAGATAAATAGTTTTAATATAAAGTTCATAAACTGAACAATAACCCGGTCGTAATTAACGGTTTGTTTTCAATAGAAATTGACAGTTATTAATACTTTAAATTATTCTATCTTGACTATACATCAAAATCTCTACACATTATCAAGTTTAGCTCGTATTCTCGTATGTCAGATGATGAGTTTCCAACCCCTTGATTCTCATAAGTATCTCATTTCTGACACCAGTGAATTCTTAATATGAAACTTTAAGGAGATATAGTATTTGATTTTCTCATTTAACAATGGAACTTAACTCCAACCACCTTTTACAAAAAGCCCAGGTATTTCATGAACGAACTGGGGGAGGCACATCTTAAAGCACCCTAACAGGTAGGTAGGTAGGTAGATGACAAGTTAACGTTCGCTTCCAGCGGATGCTGATATCGCAAACTAGGTAGTTGTTGGTAGTCGTAGTAGTTGGTAGTTGGATTGGATCAAATTGGATGATTCGGTGTTGTTGGTTTGGTTGTTGATTCTTCGTTTGATCTGGTCGGGTCGAATGACATGGCGGTGAAATTCGGCCCTGGATGGTGTGGCGTGAGTTACTCGGACTCCTTCATTCTTTCAAACTCGTTCTGATCATGGTATTTCTTGTTGATTGGTAGTCGAATGGTAGTCGTTGGTTTGGTTTGTTTTGGTTTGGTTAGATTATCTGTTATCTGTTGGAAAACTCGAAGACCTGGAAAAAAAAAAGAAAAAAAAGAAAGTGAGAAAAAGAGGGAGGAAAGAGGGGGGGGGAGCTTTCACAAAAGGGGGAGAGATGTTCTCTAATGTTTCTGCAATGAAACTTGTTGAATTGATTGGATATAATTAAAAAGTGTTAAGAAACTTTGAGTTTAAAAACTTAGCCTATCTGTTCAAGACAGATTTGGTTATAAAATGGAAGACTAGTTCCATTATCGTATACCAGTGGTCCGTGGGTGGAGCCAAAACATTCTGTATGGTGAGAGGTATGCCGTTGGTTTCCAGGTACTCTAGCAGTGGCTTACGAGCTTGTTTCAGTTCAGTGCATTGAATGAGGTCATGCGACCTTGTGGCAACGTGGCCGCAGCGACATTTAATGGCTTTAAGGACTTTCCCTCCCGAGGTTTGTAGAGGTATAAACCCTCTACAGCGTGATTGTGGAGCTTAAGATCCTCCAGCAATTCACCCTCAGAGTACTCGGAGGGGACGCCATAAATGACGACCCGCTCCGTCTTGTTGAAGGTGGACATGGCCGAGTCCACGTTCATCCCACACAGTGCGGTTTGGTTGGCAGCATAAACCGCATCTGCCAGGAACTCAAAATTCAGCCGCACCTTAGCCACCTCCGGAAGAGAGCTATACTTCCACTCTTTCCGGATGAAGTCGCCGATGACCTTCGACTTCGTGCTGCCGAAAGTTTTGCCCCCGCTTGGCTTTACTATCACGATATTGGAGAACTCCGGCCTTGCTACCCTGGGTTGCATGGTAGCAGCTGGCCGACTCGCAATATCGGCATAGCTAACCTTGGTGGATTGTTGGGAGGCCATTTAACTGAAATTGAAGGGTTGATTAGTACAAATGCAAAATACAAAATACAATACAATAAGATAGATAAGAGATAGCTATCAAGAATGCCTTGCAGACTGTGCAAAACTTGATAGTATGAAAATGAAAAGAGAACAACGAAACAAAACGAAACCTAGTGAAAGCTTAGTAGGACAGCTTGAATTTCTTCCGCCAAAGAAATTGTCGGCCGCCCAAAGAAAAGATAAAAGAAAAGAATAAAAAGGAACGAACTCACAGTAATTAGTGGCAGGTGTCAAAAGTTAATTGAGTAATACTTAATTGATACTTGACAGTAATCCGCTAATCCAATTTCACCAATCCAGACTAGAGAGAGAGCTAATTAGTTGTTCACAGTACGAGTGCCTAACAAGCACGAACTTCGTTATATACGACGCATCATGGGATGTAGCGATTTGATTGGATAGTACGCCAGAAGATACAACCAATCAGAGTCTTGAAAGAAAGACTGTAAACATGTTCGTTGACATTGTGAAGATGGTGGAAGATACGACAGTTCATTTTCTTTATAAGCACTATCGTTCGCTTTTAGATGAAGAAAACAAGGCATTTGTTACGTAATTTGTAACTACTAATCGAGAATCTTTTCTTTTGCAAAGATTCGTTGTAAAATCTTTAGTTAGTGGTCACCGGACTAAGTCATGTAATGTGTTCTTCGACATGCATCGACAATCGACATACGTGAATACAACTCTAACGTAATGTCATGTCCCTTACAAAATATAAAATACATTTCATATTATCAGAATATTGGACGAATTCGCACAGAGTGTTGTCTCGTTATATTGAAACCATTTTAACCAATTTGTGTTTCAGATTAATCTGTTTGAGAGGTTGTTAAATGTAGTTTTGAAATAGTCTCATCAAATTTTATGACCCTATTCTTCAATTTATTGTCTTATCTTATAGAATTTGTTAAAGTATTTTGTTTAAAGCTGTTTGTTTTTGTAATTCCATGAAATAAAACCTGATAAAATTAACCATGTTTCTTTGCATGGAGAGAAACTGTTCTTGGAAGTAGAACTGCCTTGACCAAATGACTCAACTACTATTTTTATAAATCAAGTTAGTTGATAAAACCCACCAGAGTGCTTAACTTCAGTGCCGCGCCTTTTGAGTCAACTTCCAAATTCATTTGATTTGAGCTCCAATGTAATAAGAGCAATGCTAATGAAGCTCGAAGGCACTTCAAACATTTCATACATATTGATACATGCATAAGGCTTTTCTGAATCTCCGAAAAAATCCATAACATTGACGATTTTCACTAGTATTCGAGATAATATATTGAATATGAAAATATTATATGGTTCGGCATCAAACGGCGACGAAAAAAAATCAAGGAAGAACCACTGGCCATGGAAATGAGCAAAACTCAAAGGATTAATATTGAAGTACTAAATTTGTATTTTTATTTGGCTTAAGGTCAAAATAACATTTTTTCTTATTGCTCCCTTTGAGTGACATTGCCTAAGTGATATAATTAAATGTGTTACAGCGCATCTAATTTCCAGTGAAATTTGTGTGTGGGCATATCTTCCTTTGGACCACAATCGGTGTTGTTGTACCATTTGTTTCTTGGGACTAGCAAAAGCTATAAAACACACAACAGTGAAACATACACCACATACAAACACAGTAGTTTGATATTTTGGTAAATTTAAGTTAATTATAAATTTTTATCTCTATGGTGATAATCTATTTTGTTTAAGTAAAAAATCTATACTCTTTAAAGGAAATTTGATGCAAATCTAAAACTTGAAAAACGAAAAAAAAAACATGACGTTGATTTACTATTAATATTACAGAATTACTCATTTTTCTCTCATTTATATCCATTTTTATTGATTTTTTTAGATAAATTACCTCATTTGTATTTTTTTTAAAAACGTGTGAAAACTATTTAGGAAAATTGGAAGTCACGATAGACATTAATTAAGACATCTTCTTAATTTTGTTCATACCACTAAGATAATAATACGCAACTGTAGTCGTTAAGAGAATATACAGCCTTTCATGTAGCTTATTCCCGATAATTAATTTGCTACATCTTACACCAAAAATATAACAAACGATCGAGCTTCGGAACATGAGCGTGAAAAAATGCCACCTTTTATCAGAAAGATGGCCATGCAATTTCTTGGTCAGTTTTGAATCAATACATGTAAGGTTGTAACAGTATTTCTATTACTTTATCAATGTTAAATGCACCATGCAATTTCCCAGTAGCATTTGTATCAATAACAGAAAAAGATTGAACTTTCTGTATTGACTTTTAAGAAAGCATACAATTTCCATTGAAAACTTGAGGGAAACAATCAAATCCTAATGAGAAAAAAAAACATTAAAATTTTTT